CAATAGTCTGGGATGTATATAGGGATTGGACATGTTGGGTGGGTATCCCTCGGTCTCATTTCTTGCTGGGTATACTAATCTTCAGTGATTGTAAGGAGTCTGAAATGATTTGTAAAGGGTGGAATTGATTTGGTATTTCACTGATTGAATTTGAATTTGATTTTTTTGCGAATAAACTACGTTAAATCAGATAACTGAGAATCAAAAAACAAAGAGGCAATTTAAAAATTGATTGTAAACTTCATTTTTGCCTGCAACTCGATGAAACCCTTGATTAAATCGTTTACTTTTTATGCCTATGAATGAGGCTTTGTAAATAAAGCAGTTGTAAACCAGAAAGGCAGAACACTTTAAAACTGAGAATTTTCCGCTTCATCCTTTTGGCAGTCACATTCTAACAATTGTACCAATTTTGAAGTAATTGTCTTGGCTTTGTACCTCTGGCCACGAGCAGAGTTTTGGCAACCCAGTACTGTTATAGTTCTAGAACCCTCGCCATACTTAAGTGCCTGCCTTTTATCATGCTGCTGCTCTTTCAATCGCTGCTGCCCTGGATCGCTATTAATTTTACATATTATTATAGACATAAGGCATTCACAGAAGTTTCACATTAACACTGGCACTTAAAGTTTAACCTCCCTTGATCCTCGAGAATGATACTCTTCGTCAAAAAGGGAAAACCTGAAAATTGTGACACACCATAACATCAACAAATGTCTACAATTATACAATACATCATGGTGCAGATTTATAAAGACAGACATGAAAAAATGGCATTTGCTTGGCCAAATAATCATATTGCAGGTTTATTGTAAGTAAAAAGAAATTGGTGATCATTTTCAACAATATTATGAACCTATAGCTCTTTCAAAAATTAAATTCAATCATTCGTATATATAGATTAACTTGAAATCTTGGCTTTCAATGAGCAAGCTTCCCCCGGCTTAGGCCTAGTTGCCAGCAGTATTCAGGGAAATGAGAATTTCTCAACATATATTTTTTATCTAAAAGCTAGCCAGATGGTGGGACTCTCATTTCATGAAATTGTACACGGATTTCCGAAACTGGCCAAAGTGGCAGATAGTGAAAGGGGTGTAAGAAGCCCACCCACACGGGGTCTGGGTTCCATTTGTGAAACATAAATAATTGCACTTCGGAGAACATATCAACAACAATTCTAACCACCAATAATTTATTAATAAATTAACTAAAACCCCAAAACTGAAAGTAACAGTGAATGAAAAACATCTGATATGCAACATTTTGCACGACTGGAGTAGGTAGCCATGTCACAATGTAGCTTTGTTGTTTTTCATGGACGTCTATATGTCATTAATATTTACCTCCAGGAACAGGTTTTGAGATATCATTCATATCCCTGCACAATTCGAAAGAAGGGCACAAGAGTTAGCTCTTCCTGGGACAGGGCACTCGGTGTCTGCTTTGTTTCATGAATAACATGGTTCCAGAATTATTAATGTGAAGCTCATTTGCTAAGAGTCCCCCCGAGCAAGGATCGTATATTGTTAGGAAACTGGTTACTTTCAAACTTAAATATGAGGATTTTGTAGTTTCAAAAATGGTCAGTATTTAATACTGTCTCAAAGCGGTGGAGTGTGCTCTAAGAAAATGGAATATGTTATCAACTTCTGCAGTACTGAGGATTCAGGAATCTTGGATGCTAGGACGAACACTACTGTACTATTGTTTATAACGGCAGTTTGTTCAGTTTTTATTTCATCAGGTTATATTCTTGAGTCGTGTAATGGTGAATGTGTCATATTTGCATAATAGAAAGAATGACTTCCTTGCCATTTCACACAATTGGCATTCGTTTATGGGAATTGTTACGAAATAGAAATGTTGTTAACAACACGGCACTGTTGCGAGAGATCGAAGTTGAAAGTCTATGTTGTTTAATTAAACAACGTTTTTACAAGCACTGCTCGCCACTTTGCATTACTTCATAACTGCTATCTGTGCTATATTTTGACGACAGTTTTATGTACATGTATATATTATTTAGTGT